GGGGGGGGGTGAGGGGTACCAGCAAGGATAAGGGGCTATAGGTTGGGACTGAAGGACACCAGCAGCTCCAAGGGGCTGTGGCTTGGGGATGAGGGGTGCCAGAAGGGCCCAGGGGCACAGGGGACTGTGGGTTGGGCACCAGCAGGGCCAAGGGGGTGTAGGTCAGGACAAGCCATCCATCTTGGCAAATGGGTCCCGGTACAAAATAGGTTGAGAACCACTGGACTAGATGACTTCCTGGGATCACTTTCAGCCCAGCTTTTCTATGTTTCTAAAAATCTAGTGTATCTATCCCCTTTGTATCCTATTATCTTTATAAAGACATAGTATCCTACAAGGTACCTTGTGCTGTGGGAGTCAGATCTGAAATCAAATATCAGTGCTTATCTAAGAGAAAATTACTTTTTCTCAGTGACATTTAGTGCAACTTAAGTGGGGTTCAAGGCCAGCTGTCCGTATATTCATAATCTCTAGTTATATAGAATTGCATAATATTCACGTTAGGAATGAAAAGACACAAAGAGGGAATAGTGTCGCTAGACTTCATTGTCTTCAAAGAAGCCAAAATTTCCCTTAGCTGCTGTAGATCTATTCACAGCATCTATTATTCAAAGCTGATTTCAACATTGTAAGGTGGCTTCCAGCCCCTCTTTCCTATGATCCTATGATTTCTGGATATCCCTTTGAAATGTACGTTTTCCAAGTGGCCCAATTTTCATCTCAGTTTCATAGGTTATGAACTGGTGTCAATCTACATTTACACTGGTGTTGAGATCTAAATTAGATTCCTGGATTTGCAGTCTCAAATCAGTACACAAATCTGATAATACTACATACAGTTCTTTAATCTTTACAACAGTTCTTCTGATGGTATCTACTGTGAATGTACAGTAACTTCTCAAGGCTTATGATGTATTTACATCAAAACTATAAAATATAATATAATCTGTCTTCAGGCTCTTACAGTTGACCACAAATGTTTTGTCTGATTTGCCTGATAAAACGCTTTCTGCATTTGATCAAAGAACACTAAGTGGAGACTGTGTTCTCTTAATGTTGAGAGCTTTGATACAGATAGTCCAAGAATTACTAGATGAGAAGCATGAATCCTGTGATCTGAAAAAAAGTTGCAGAAAGAATGCAAAACAATCTGAACACAGCACGATTCATGCTCCAGGAGGACTTGACTTTAGAGGATTTGATGTTACAGTCCAGGCTGGTTGGGCCACTTACTATTAAAACTGCCTGACTTGTCCCATTATAGGACTGTTTACAGTTATTATAACTTTGCCAAACTTTGACAGTTTGATCTGAAATTCTCCTTTCCAGGTGCCTACTTTAGGCTGAAATTATTTTGGAAAATTCCTGCCCAAACAGCTCAACTGATTTTTAGGAGTGAGGCTAGGGGAAAATATCAAGTTAGACATTTTGGCCACCTTTGTTTAAGAAGCTCTTTTTCCCCCTTCTGGAGCAAGGACTTTGATTTTAGATGAGGTTGGCTTTTACATCAGGGACATATCTTTGCCATCCCCTTTGCTGCCGACATTTGGCCAAATTATAAGCCATGAAAAATGGCATTTTGCAACATGCTCAGGTAAGACTCTTTGGCTAAGTACAGACAGTCAAAAAGCCCAAGGCTGAATCGATTCAGTCTTTGCAGGTTAGTCAAAACTGCACAGAGTACATCAAAACAGAAGTGAACAGACATGTACCTTTGATTTGGAAATGCAGCCACATGCCTGCAGTGGCTCAGGCCAGAAGCTGAAGGGCATAGAGCATGGCTCTCTGGCTGTGTGTTCACTTCCTCTTCCTGCTGCCCCTAAAGTTTCTGGGATTTGCAGTCCAGAATTACAGCAACAGGACTCTGCAGGGATGTTCATAACTTCCTGTTCCTGCTTCCAGGTGCCTCTGGGATTTGTAGTCCACAGTCACAGCCAGCCGGAAGTTTGAGCAAGGCTCAGGGCTAAGACCCCAGCCAGGGCTTGGGGGGGGGGGCAGTTCCCCTCTGTAGACTGGGCTGCATCCCAGCTGGGTTTGCCCTCCTACCCTTGTCAGCCAGCCCTCACAGCTCCAGCTAGGGAGCAGAGGGGTAGGGCCAGCCCTGCTTTCTGGAGCAGACAGCATAGCCCAACCTAGGATTGAAAAGCCTGCTGCCATCTTGGGAGTCTGTGATTTAAAGTGAACCAGGAAGGGGTCTGGGACAGAAGTTTTATAAACCAGTTTGACCCAAGTCATTTAAGAAGCTGAGAAGGCTTGGGTGAGAGTAGGGATTGAGTTTAAATGAAGATCTTAGGGACAGAGACTGGTACTGGGAGTGAATGAGAGAAAGGAAGAGACAGATGGGATGAGCTAGACAAGGAAACTTGGGATATATTGGATTGGAAGAAGCAGGAACTAAAGAGGCCAGATGATTAAATCAGACATTTCTCAAGTGGTCACTAATTCTAAACTCGTTTTCTGGGTGCCCAACTTAATACCTAGGCACCTGATTTGCAAGTGTTCAGCACAAGTCAGTGGGAACTCTGCTTTAAACCTATAAAGTCCTACTAATTGATTTGTACCAGTCTGAAGTATCACACTGATACTGTATCTTGACCTGATTATGAAAATGTTTATTTTATTTGCAAATTTTAATTTAAAGATGGATGTAAAACAGGCTAGTTATGAATAAGGGAAGCATTACAATAAATGTGTTTACACAGCTATCCGGAACCTAAAATGGCTACAGACGAATGGCATGTCACTGTTGGGCAATTAACCAACCATCTCTTTTTTGGGTCACAAATGAAAATCCAGGTACTGCTATCATACTGCTTTTATTGATGTCTCAACTACTTACATGGACCTGAAATAGAGCTGATACCCATTGGCCCTCTTAAATGTGTGACCAAGCAGCTAAGACTTTCTCCAGTCATATTCCCTTACCAAAATTACCAGATCCCGAGACCATTGCTAACAATTGTGAAAATAAGTGGAACCAGTCTTGATATGCTAGACATATCAAGGTAAATTATAGTAGGCAAATTAAAGATGAAGAGAAAGTCTAGGCTTGGTGATGTAGCTGTTCTAATCTCTTTCTTTGTCTTCCAAATGTTATTTAACTTTTTTTTTCTCTGCCTTGCACCCTGTGTTTTTCATTGTAATAAATAAGAGAAGAGGCCTGTTTGGTAAGCAGGAGGATGGTGATACTACTTTGATTGTGATCACACATCAGCAAAGGGTCAGAGGTGTACGACTGTGGTGGGGGGTTCCAGAGACTGTAAGAGTGAGGTTGTAGCTGCTGTGGTCCAGAAATCATGCAGGACGCAAGGGTTTCTTAGGGCAAGATCCAAAGGTGACGTGTAGAGGGTGCCCGCGGGTGGGCCTGTGGGCGGTCTGCGATCCCTGTTGGCTGCTGCTGCCACTGCCGGTGGCGTCTGCAGGTGGTTGCCAACCCCTGGTTGGCGCTCGTCACCCCCCACTGACAGCACCAGTGATGCCTGGGGAGCTCCCCTGCTTACCACTGCCTCGCTCCCACTGTCGTTGTGCCCCCCACAGCCGCCAGGGGCATGCCTCGTTCATAGCAAGATCTTTGGTTGGACTGACTGCAGAGCTGGGATAGTTAGACAAGCTTTTCAATGCACAACCTTCTCCCTCAGGTCTGGCTTGGCAAACACCTGTTGGCTCATTTGCTGGAGATAACTGTACAAAGATGTTTACTGACGTGCACCGTGCCCCACGCGCTCATGCACCGTCGCACACGCATACACTGTTACACGCATGCATCCCGTCCTTCCCTCACGCACGCCC